ATAGTGCCTAAGGCACTTGGCTGCTAACCAGAAGGCTGGCGATTCAAACCCACCAGCCACTCCTCGGAAGGAAGGTTGGGCAATCTACTTCCTTAATGATACTGCCTCAGAAACCCAAGGAGGGGTCACTATGAGTCGGGTCCAACTCGATGGACATAACAACAACAACAACTATTAAATGCATGAAAGTTGTTGTACTTGTCCTGTGCAGTTTCAGCAAGAACTGCATGTCATAGTTGAAAGGAGAGTACGTTCAAGGTATCTGTAAGGACCAGGAAGAGGGAGAAGCAATGGAGAAAAGAATAACGAAAAATCAAAGAACTAATAGATGCAAATGTAACAGTAAGGTACAATCAGAACTTAGAAATAAAGTTACACTCTAAGAGAAGAGAAAGAAAAATCAACACATAATGGATTATATTAACCATCTGAAACTGTTCACACAGCTACAACAGAAGAGATGTGAGATCACAAGTTTAATCAAAGGGAAGACTGGAGAGTTAGGAACAAAACTGGATCATTTTTCATCACGGGGATTGCAATCAATGTCACAAAACAAAATCTGTGTGAACTGTTGGATGAAAAACAAAATTTCTCTGTGAAGTTTCACCCCAATCACAATAAAATGTTTAAAAAACAAATTGCATAACTTTTAAAATAGAGCTTTGACACCTAAATGATATATCAGAATAGAGAACGCATCAACAGACTAAGAGTGTTCTCAAAAAGTCCTGACAAAGAATTTAGCAAAGAGAAAAAATTTGTTCAAGGACTCCAGATGCAAAAACAGTAAGGAACACTAGCATAAGCAAAAAGAGAAAAAAAAAAAAAAAACGTCTTGTAAGACTACCGAAGTTCCCTTATGGGAAGCCACAAGGTAGGCAGCTGTTGTGAACACAGATGTGAAAGGACTACAGAGAACATGACTGGTTTCTCCTCTTCACTTAATCTTATATTTTCTAGACTTTCACTCTCACCCCCATTTCTTTTTTCTTCCCATTTCTCCTATCTTCTCTCTTTACCCACAATCTCCTACAGTACAAAAGCTTCTCTAATTTCCAGGATGATAACACATTCACTTTTCTTACTTCAATGATTTTCCTGCTGTCCTTAAGTATTTGGCTCACACCTCTATTACAGCACTAAATGTATTATATTTAACTGTTTAATGTCTGTTTTGAGTTCTTTATAAAGACAGAGACTCTGCTACATTTGACTTCTTTATTCCTATGATATTGCTCAGAGCTTAAATAAAAGGACTTTGATATTTATCTACTGAATGACTGCATTCTATGTATTAGGTAAAATTTACCCTTCTCTACAGAAGAAGTGTGGGAGCATTTGCCAAGTTAACCACTTATATTTCTTAAGCTAAAAATCAAAATCTCATTCCAAATCATTTCCAATTGTTCATTTTACATAATGCACTGATCATCACTTACACACAGTTTTTTTTCTTGCTAGTTTTTAATTTACCATAGGTGTCTCTGTAAGTTCTATTATATTTTATTTTGGGAACACAGTGATAGCATAAATAAATAAAATATAAAACATACTGCCTCAACAGAATCAAAGGAAGAAAAAGTAGACATGTGCCTCACATTCATTTATTAAGAACATAAAATTTGAGAAAACAAATCTACCATTACAATGATTCTCAAACACAATCTTAAAGCACTATTATTCCATGCTCCCACAAAGGCTTAAGAGAAGTGGGGGTTCAGGTTACTCACACTTCAATTTACAAAGTAACTGCAGGAAAACATCCTTGTGAAATGCTACCACAATCCAGTATACCTAAATGGCCCTGATTCAACATAAACTATTAAAGGACCAAGTAAAGCTACTGTCCCAGCCCTTAATCAAATCATGACACATGTTATTACCATGTAGGACAGTAATTTTTACCTTGCGTAATTATTTTCTAGTTTCATTAAACTGGGTCCATTTTCCCCCCCTTTAGAAAAACTCATACAAATATTGTTTCCCCTATGCCTTCACTTCTTAGTCCCTCAGTCAAGGACCAGACCAGAGATTATACTTCCAAGAAAACCAAAGTGTACTCATTGTGTTGACGAAGACAAAAAGTAAAACACTGGATATAAGAGATGTACTATTAACATATAGAACATGTGGAGTTGAAGTTTTTAATCTTCTCAATTAAAAAAAAATGCTGACACTCAGTTTTGTTGCCTCTTTTGACTATTCCTTGCCAAGTATATTTCACTACCAACCTAAAAGAGAAATATACTAGATCCAGTTCGACATAGCTTCTTACCACAATGATTTGGGGAGATTTACAGAAAGTCAGAAGGAACTGTTGGAGTTGGTCCTCAACTCATGGGGACCCATTGCACAATGGAATGAAACACTGCCCAGTCCTGCGCCATTTCCATAATCAGTTGCAGATCAGAACACTGGTTGATTTTCAGAAATAGATCACAAGGTCTTTCTTCCTAGTTCATCTTATTTTGGAAGTGTCGCTGAAACCCATTCAGCATCATAGCAACACATAAGCCTCTATTATTGACAGAGGGGTGGTAACTGTGCATGAGATGTCCTGGCCAGGAAATGAACCTAAGTTTCCTACTTAGAAGGTAAGAATTCTATCACTGAACCACCACTGCGCCCCAGAAGGAATATTCCCATTGTCTTCAAGTTAATTCTGACTCGTAGCAACCCTGTAAGACAAAGTAGAACTGTCCCATAGGGTTCCCAAGGTTGAAATCTTTATAGATGCAGACTGCCATATCTTTCTCCCATAGAGCAGCTGGAGGGTTTAAACCACTGAACTTTCAGTTAGCAGCCAAGTGTTTGACCACTATGCCACTAGGGCTCCTAGTGGAAGGGACACTAGAGCTCTTCTAATCTACCCTTTCAGCTGCTCCAACAAGGGAGAAATCCCATCCATCTGAAGTGGCTGCTATAAATGCCTCAGCTAAAACATGTCTAATTCTGCCTTATATGCATGCCTGCTAAAGGGGCAAGGGGACAGCATCTTTTGACCTCCTCTAACTATACAAGAGGAAGACAGAGTCATCATCAGCCACCCAAGGCCTGTTCCCAAGAGGCCAGACATGCCACCACCCTCCAGCCCTCTTACCAACCTTGACACCAACCATCCCTCCCACGGCACCCACCACCTCTGCTGGGTTCAATCATTCACTGCAGTGGCCACACAAAACTCACAAATTATGAGGTTTATTAGGGAAGCAACAGGCCACAATTCAAGTTAAGGAAAATGTTCAGGATACAGTTCTTCGATCAGGACAGTCTCCCCTCTGCTGTGTCCTTAGACACTCTTCTCTAGTCCCTGGCCTCTTGGCCTGGCCTCTGTGGGCCAGGTAAGCCTGTAGCCCTGTCTTGTGCCTCAGTTGGGTATCTCTTTCAGCTAGCAGTTAGATTCACCTCTGCCTCTGTTATGTTGTTGTTATGTGCCGTCGAGTCGACCCGACTCATGGCGACCCCTCCTTGGGTTTCCGAGGCAGTATCACTATGGAAGTAGGATTGCCCAACCTTCCTTCCGAGGAGTGGCTGGTGGGTTTGAACCGCCAGCCGTCTGGTTAGCATGCAAGTGTCTTAGCCACTATGCTACCAGAGCTCCCCCTCTGCCTCTAGGAGGGCTCATTTTAAGCCTGGCAGAGTAGCAAAATGAACCAATCCCAACATCAGAATTCTACACACCTGAGAGCATGCGAACTTTCTCAGAAGATTACTTCCTGCTGCACCAAAAGAAATACTACAGGTGGATGACTTTAACAATCAGGAGATTAAAATCAGTTATTCAGTTGCTATGGCAAATTCTACCATGCAGTTAACTGCCAGTCTCATTACAAGGGATAACTACTACCAGCTGCCCAGTCAAATTGACACATATTTGCATGGTCCCACCCCAGTATTCAGTGGGAGTTACAAACACTATGGTTAGAAAAGTCACAACATGCAACTCACTACACTGCAATGCCTATCTCCATTGTCAGAATGTACGATCCTTAAGGACTGGGATCACAGCTTGGCCGTTTTCCAAACTTTTCTTACTAAGCTGGGTAATAGATTATGTTGTGATTATTTTAATAAGACAGTACTACTGTCCTTATCTCTCTCTCTTTTCTATATTTCACTCTCCTTTCATTCTCAGTTCGGACTCCTCTTTACGTCCTAGTATAGAGCAGGTTTTACCACCTCAAGGAGAAATACAAACAATAACATTACTACTCACGGGAGGACATCAGGATGGTTACCAATGAGTTTGCTCATGGACACACAGAGCCGTTCGTGTAGATCATGGTTGATTTGGCCTCCAGCTTTAATGGCGTCCGCATTCCTTTCAAGCAAATCCAAAAGGAGAGGGCGCAGATGGCGACCAATCAGCACAGTACAGTCTTTATCAAGGAGTAACTGTGCTAAAGTGTTCAGGATACACTGACGATCTTGAGGTGTCCATACCTGAAAGAAGATAAAACAAATTATCTAAACTCTCTCTCTCTGCCCTGTTGTAGAACAGCAAAGAGCCCCAGCTTGGAGTCAAAATATCTAATTTTCAGACTTCCTAAGAGTTTACTCTATAAAACACACTGGGTTTTTTGGGTGGTTTTGTTGTTGTTGTTGTTGTTATTGTATTTTTGCAACAGAGATTTGTAGTTTATTTACTGTAAAGGCTGTTACAAGTTACTTTCAGTCCACTGGAATTTAAAGTAAAGGTTGGGATCAATGTAAAACATTACATAGCTTCCCTAAAAAAATAATCTCTGTTTCTGGGTCTCAACATTCTCAGGGAATTTAGAACTCGTTTTCACCCTGGTTCCCTTGCTCTTAAAATAAAAGCAATTAAATGAAAAGTTGCAGTTAGTATATAAAACTGTCAGCTGTCTTGAGGAGAGGATAGAGAAAATAAATTAATTCCTGGAAATGAATGAGGATATGCCTATAAAGACCTCAGCCTCTAAAAAACAAAAGAGATCCAAAGCAGACAGCCATACTTTGGTATACAAGATGAAATGGACCACAAAATTCTAGTGCCTAGGCTCATAACATAGATAAGGCAAAAAGAGAAACCTGGAAAGTGTGTAAAAGATCTCACAGTGCTAGTTGTGCACAGGTCATCTGTACAACCCTTTCTCGGGGCAGTATGACAACAGGTTTAACTTTCCAAAGGGGGCACTGCCCCAACAACGCAAGTCCAATGTTATGAATTTATCCTAAGAAGTTTCACACTAAAGGGTTATCTATGAAAGTATAGCTTGAACCCATCCTAAATACCATACCAAAATATAGTTAACTTTTTCAAACTATCTCTCAGGTGACACGTTACACCTGAGTTCTTACAAATTATCTCAAATTATAAGAACACTTAACTCTGAACTAAGTCCTCTAGGGAAAGTTGTTACCATGGAACAACATCTCAATGTTAGTTATGCAGTTTATAGGAGGCCATGTGAAGGATTCCAAAAAATGCAAGTTAAGAAATTTAACAAATTTGGTCATTATTCATAGGCACATGACTTCATATTTTCAACTGCTCAACGTCCCTATAAACAAGCCCTCTACTGATCCCCTTTACAAAGTAATACACTACAGCTACTCAAAAGTTTGAAGAATGTAATGGATGTCATTTGAATTGGTGTGTTTTTGCTGTGTATATCCTGAACAACATGAAGAAAAAGAAACTCGTACCTACAAGATGAGTAAGAAAATCCAACTGTCCTACTTACATTGTACAAACAGATACTTCAGGGTTAAGAGAGAATTTCCTACAGAGAATATCATTTCAGTTTCTCCTCTAAAACCTAAATGTCTAAGGTAATCAATCTGGAAAACTATTAAATGAAAGAGATATGTAACTCTTTAAAAATCAACTTTATTGAGATATAATTCACATGCAATAAGATGCACCCATTTATAGTTTGATGAGTTTTGACAAATGTATACACCTGTGTAATCACTGCCCCAAAATATTGGTATTTCCATCAACCTCAAAGTTCCTCATGTTCCTTTGCAGTCAATCCTCTCACCCCAGTTAACCCCAATTTGATTTCTATGACTAGAGATTAGATCTGCCT